TAAATAATAGATATTTTAAACGACCAAGGCATGATAAAATATTGTTTATCTATACTTATAAATTAATAAATTTTGCAAATAAACTCCGAAACGGGTGCATCAGAGTTCTTACTTACTCCTCTAAGAATACACTAGAATACACTACAAGATGATGTCCGTAAACTATATTTAGATTTCACTCGCAAAGTAAATATCGTACATTAAATTAAAAGTCTACTTTCATTTTCTATAAACAGCCATGAAATAGCAAAAAAGTGAGTTCGGTGGCGTTTCCGGTTTGCGGATCTAAGTTACTAGCAATTTTTAATGAAACTGACAACAGGCAATGGTTTATTTATTTCATAAAACGTCATCATTGAATTATTCAATCAAAACTTGATTTAAATGATATAAAAGAAATAAGTTGTGATTACCGATTAAAAATGGAAATGTGCAAATTATTTTCGTCTTTCACCGATCTTAATATTGACGGAAGCTTCTAGAACTTCATATAGCATCGAGTCCGATGTTAAAAAGAAAAACGGGGCGATTCCAGCTGCATAAAAACATAAAAAAAAAGCTTTTGTGTGATTGGTCATTGAAATAATGGTAAATCATTGATAACACTTTAAGTTGTGAATATATTTATATATCGAAAGACTATTACATTCATGTAGTAGGTTTTCGTAATAAATTTATCGATAAAATTTGTGTATGAGAGCATCGTGGCAACGAACCCCAAGTACAATTTGTACTTCGTAATAAACTTGCTTACAAGAAAAGAGAAATTAATGAATAATGTATTGTTCAAATACAATTAAAGCTGTAAAATTTTGTGCTTTAATCGATACATTTCAGTTTTTTATTTCTGATACAGTCTTTTGTATAAAATACTCAGCCTATTCATAAGGCTTTAAAAGCTAATTTGGGTCTTGGTTTATAAAAATGTATGTACATTATTGATATGTAAAAAAGTAAATTACATTATTTACATATCAATAAAGTACATACATATTTATAAACCAAGACCGAAGTACCGGTTAATTTTTAACATCCCCCCCCTTTATCCCTGATGGAAATGAAAAAAGGGCATCAGAAATACAATATCCATAATATAGTATAACAGGTTTCAGAATAAATTAATGAAATTGTTATTTTTCGAGTTTTTACAAGGGGGGGGGGCGTACATCTACTTCATGCGGGATTTTGAACTACGTATTTCTTCCTGCTATAAGCCTGTAGGCTGTCAGTAGAAATAATACATTTTATGTTGGTAGTGGTTTAAATTCAATTTCCCGCGCTTGCGCGGAATTTCATCTAGTGTAGTAGAAACGAGTTACTAATGATCGAATGTTTCTCAAGGAGACGGTTTTCCAGGGAGTATATTTTTAAGTAAATGTTCGTCCTATTTTGAGTATTTTAGTACTTTAAATGTTTTCATTACATTCAGAATTGATGCCTGACAACACAAGCTAATAATTAATTCGGCCTGTTAATAAAACTATCGGTACATGATTTTTCGCTCAGGTGTTTTCAATTTGATTTATGGAATAAATTTTCAACGACTGAACTGATTTCTTTATGTACATTTGATTGGAAGAGAAATCTTAATTTGCAATTATTTTTTGAAATCCAAATGTTCGTTATTTTCTGTTATAAATTTTGTAAATAAATTTGAAAATATTTGCAAGGATATGTTGTAGAATTGTTTATCTGTTCAACGTGTAGGGAACCAAATACGATTGAAACATTCTGAACTTCTATTTGTGAATAGTGTCAAAACGTACTCACAATTTGTTAAAATTCTGAATCCAGTAGAATACATGTAAGAAATTAAGAGACAAATAAAGTACATAGCCCAAGACAATCTGTCTTTTCAGAAAAGGGATTTGAAAGTCAATAAACGCATTATATACAGATTTTAAAAAAGTCCTGTAAATATGTTTTAAAAAGGAATAAAGTCATTATATGTATGAAAACCAACGAAGTCAACAAGGAATATTTGAAATGTTATCTATAATCTCTACGTCTGAAGCAGGGAAAGGGACAGCATATTATGAGGGACTTTTCATAATAATGAAGTATATGGAGATAACGAATAGTATTCGAGCTCAAAAATCCATTAAACATTACAAAATAGGAGTAAAGCAAACACGGACCTCTAAGACATCAGAGGTGAGATCAGTAGCCATGGAGGAGTGAGCATCCCGTGCCAACCGGTCACACCCGCCGTATGCTCCTTGACATGATCGGGAAATAACGGAAATATCCGTCGACAAATCAGTCTTTAAATAATGGCCTAACAATTAGTATGAAAAAAGTCAGTCAGCATTTGACTTAATGAAAGATTATATTTGCTAACAATGTCACTGTATCGACCATAGAACTTAGGAAATGATGACTTTAACGAGACTGTTGATATTCTTGTTTTATCAACTTGTTTGTCAATAATTTACCTCGTTTTAGAAATTGTTCATACGTAGAACATGCTTTTGAGTATCGAATCAACTGAGAGATATTAATAGAATAAGCGATGCAACAGTTTTAAGTATATTCTAATTGATTTTGAAGTTAAGAAGATGCGAGGATATGAATTATACCCAAAGTATGTTCTTTACATATTTGCAAAATATTCACGCAAGTGTTGTAGGAATTGTAATGTCCCTTTTAATTCTATTTAAAGTATATCACATATGGAAACATCGGTACATGTAAAACTATCCTCAGACATTACAACATGCGAAAAATTGTCATGTAAAATCTGTTTAGTTTAAAATTAAATTTATGAATGACAACTTAATCTTGTACCTATATACATAAAGAAAGTTACAATGTATTACCAAGCCAACAATTGTTCTTTCAATTTTAATTGGTCAAATTAGCTAATTAATGTATTAGGACTTTGTTTGAGATGCTTTACCTTCGCTCATCGTGTGAATTCTTTGTTCGAAGTCGGTAATAACACAGGGATCCTGAAGTATGGCAAATAAAGAAGAAATAAAATATCCTTTAATAATAAATTATGATCATTACATCATGACAACTTGAAATTAATCTTGATATATACTAATTGGCAGGTGGAAAAGATTTTTCAAAGATTATATCAATAACTAACACATAGATAAATACAAGGTCATGTACACAGTCAAATACTCTTACGAAAATATTTTCTTTTACAAATTTTATCGTTTGTTTTTAATTTCACAAGGTAATAAATATTTGAGGTCATTTAACAAACGGTTGAATCAGCAATCAATTGGCCTTCATGTATTAAACAACTAGCATCAATTTCCTTCCTAAAGAAGTAGGCAAGTAGATGTATATGCGGGTTTTGTTGTACTTGTTATTGCAATACATGTATGATAATTAACACTCTTAATAATGCTACTTCGCGGGTATGTTAAGGAAGCATGTAAGTCAATTCTCTGGAAATTTAGACTTTTTAAAGAAAATTAAGTTTGATAATTTACCAAAACCGCTGATAAATGTAAACTATTATTATCTATTGCATAAAGATAAAAGAGTGTCTAACGCAAAGACGTGCACCACCACCACGGCATCACGTGACTTCTATTAATAGCGAAATTTTCCTTAGTAAAAAAGCTAACAGAACAACAATAACCCGAAGTGTAATAATTTCTTTGAGTAAAAAATATAGTTGGAAAACATCTATTTCGCCTAAAAAGTGCTGCTAGAATCCCACTGTCCCGTCAGTAAAATAATAATTCCACACATTCGCACGAAACCTTACTCGATGTTTTGAATTTTATACATATAAACCGAGATTTTTCGTAAAACCATGCTTAACTCGGGATTCTAGCAGCACTTTCCAAGTATTTTAGGAGGCAAACTTTCCATCTGTAAAAATCTTATGTTTTGAAATATACAGCTTATTGTTGTTCTGCTGCATTATTTTTGTCACAAATGACAGAGGAAAGGCCGACCGGGATACGTATATAGCTGACTGTCTTCAAAGAGAATACAATCGATGAAAATAAATTAGCATACCTGTTTTAGTAACTGAACTCCATATGAATTTCACAAAATATTCACGATATTTGCTTTTAAACTCCATTTTACGTATCTTTGTACATGCCGTCTTAGCCAAATTCTCTTTACACGACATGATCAATTCCCAAGTTACTTGAAGTACACATATGACGTCATCGGTGGTAGACTTTAATCAAAATGACAGATACAGCATAACAAAATAAAAACATTTTATTTTTGTTAATGTTTACACGTTTCTATTCATTTTCTAGAGTTAAATTACATCTCTAAATACGAATATTACAAAAACTTGTATTCTAAAATTGACGTCATCTCGCCTACTATGACGTCATAATGTAGCACTGATTAAGTCAAGGTAGAATATTTTGTATGCTTCCTTATTACCCCTGCGTTGTTTTTACTCTCATGCGTAAAAGGATATAACTCATCAGGAAACATTAATTTCTAACATCTGCGGATATTCTGAGAAGAAAAAATCTTTGTCTTAAAGAAGTGTAAAGAAACATATAGACTTGGAGCTAAATGAAAATATTGTTTACAGGTACCCAAAAAGTATGATTCTGTTGACAATTGTTTTCAGTTGTTTTATGTACAACTGTTTAGCAGAGGCCTGTCCGGGTATTTGTTATTGTACTCATGCGATAGACTGTAAAGGAACTTACGTGAACTGTTCGTATAGAGGACTAGCCAGCTTACCGACTGGTTTCCAAGCGGATCAATGGTATATTGAAATTGTTGTGAAAAGTTAACGATTAATGATTTGTGGACAATTCTTTTTTTTTCAAGTTCTCTAATTTGTCCTCTAGAGAATTATGATGTTTATTTTGATATTCTAAACATTTTTTTTTTCATGTTTTATACCCTGAATTGGTCCATTTATCGTAGAATGACTGTAATATACTTTTCTTTAGTTTTCTGCTATTGAAATAAATGACAAGATCCAATAGCACTGTGGTTAGGTATACATTGCTGTGAAGAAATATCCTTGACATGTCAGCCTAAAAATTCTTTCACTGGGAAGAAATGACCTTGACCCGGTCATTCTTCCACTCACTGACATAAAGGTTATCGTTCTCATCAATACACAAAGCACGAGGCATTTTCATGTTTTCATAATATACAAAACAAATAAAGCCTCCATTCTGATCTATCATATGTATTTTGTCGTTTTTCATGTCAGCCACGATGATGTTGCACTCAGAATCTGCACATATTCCGTATGGATCGAAGTGAGAATCCTTAGCAAGACCATAGTATCGAAATCTGAGCACTCCTCTCTCATCTATCACCACAACAGCTCCTGCATCAGAAACACAAATGTCTGCGTTGCCATTCTCTGTTATATGGGTTGGAAATGTAAATAAAGGTCTGTGTTTATCATTTTCAAATTCAAACAATTTCGTAAATTCGGTCAAAAAGAGTTCAAATTTCAAAATTTTTCCTTTAGATTTTTCTTGTAGTTTGCCATTCCACACACTGACTAAAAGACTTCCACATTTACAACCCGCCATTCCATGTACGAAGTAGTCATGATCAGGAATATTTTCATGTACAGTATCTGAACAATTGGGACTATAGAGAACTATCAGTTTGACTGATTTCTCGAAGGTGAATAAAAAAACATTTGGGTATTTCAAGAAGAGAGAATACGATCCGTTATATGATAAATATTTAATGTCTCCATTAAGTGACACATTATATGATGGTACATACGTACCGGAATAGTACCGGCTTCTGCAATTATCGCTTTCCAGAGAAAGACATATTTTTCCATCATCAACATAGGACAAGTCAGTTATGTATTTCTTTGGACTGCTTATTTCCTTGACAATTTTGTACACACGTGGATTCTTTTCTTCTTGAATTGCCTTTTCAAAAGAAAAGTCAAGGTTTTCATTATTGTATGTAAATGGAACTAGTGCTCTAATATTTGGTTAAGATAATTTCCATCCTCCTTTGATGTCATAGGTTTTTGCAAAAACTGTTATCAAATTAAATCCATACCCATTAGAAATATATCTTTCATAAGAATGCTTTCAACAGGAGTAATGAAAAATATTGTAAAATAAAACAATTAAAAAAAAATTATATTCTTTATTTAATCAATTATTCAATCTTTAAAATATGTTGATAAGGGCAATAACTCCACTCATGAATCTTCATCCAGGCATATTCTTTATTGTACTTCTAATTAAGCAAAATGTATTCCACGAACAAACATATTTATAAAGAAGCAATTTTTTTTTAACTTTCAAAATCGAAATAATGAATTTGAACAAGTTTTTCCATAATTGTTATAATACTGTTTACTACAAATGTTTTTTATTCTTACATATACCTTTAATTATCTCTTAAATCCTAAAAGAAGTACGACATCCTATACATTTTTGTAGTTATTAGTTAATTTAAACAGTGAAATGAAATATGAAGATAACGAACAGTATTCAATCTCGAAAGTCCAATGAAACGAAACAAATTTGGAGCAGAGCAAAGACGGACCCATTTAGAGGTCGGATCAGCTAGGTGCCAAGGAGGAGTGAGCATCCCCTGCCGACCGAACACATGGCCGTGTGCTCCTTGTCATGATCGGGAAACAAAAACCAGAAAATCGGTAGACAGTTCAATGTATAGATAATGGCCTAACAATTAGTATGAAAAACGTCAGTCAGCATTTGACTCAGTGATAGGTTGTATGTGCTGACAAGGTCATTGTATCGACCGTAAAAGTTGCGAAATGATGACTTCAAAAGAGACTGCTGATATCCTTGTTTAGTCAAGGAAATAAATGCAGTGTTTCTCCTTTGAACCATTAAAATTGTGAGGGTGAAAATATTGTAAAAAGGTATCCTACTTTCAAATATTTTCACTTATAATTAAGATCATAACAGATACGGTAAATAATAAATTTTCAAAAATTTCAATTTATACTATTTACAACGGAAAATCCAGAATATATAAAATTTAAAGTATCCATGTATGATTTCCTAGATTTTTTTTTTTTACTGAAAAAGAAAATCGAGGAATCTGCAGTTTTAAAAGGGTATATAAAGTTTCTATGTTTGTAATTACAATAATATATATTTAAAAATGTAAAAGTGAAAACATTACACACAATGAAAAAGAAAATAAATAAATAAAAAAGATTTGTTAGTAAATATTAAGAAAGAGAAAAAATGAGAAGATAAAACTAGTCCTTATTAAAGTGGACATTTCAAGAATAACATTTTAAAATAAATAAGGAAAATGTAAAATCACATCGTCCAGTACATTTACGCATGTATAGGCATATAATTTAATTTGATTTCAAACGTCAGTTTAGGATCATAAGGCATGTATTACTGCTTAATTAAAGGAGGGGGGAAATACCTTACTATGACAACGATAATATTTAGTATAATAAAACAAGTGAAATTAACAATAGAATTTTATGTTAATGTGAATAATTGAGTTAGATTTATTAAAAATATTTTTCTTTGTGAATACCGATCCCAATTTATTTTTAGACATCGGAACAATATCCAAATCAAAAACATCCCTCGGCCTTTTCCGTCAAGTCAAGAAGATCACTCGGCGTTTTCTATCAAATCAAGAACATCACTCGACCTTTTCTGTCAAGTGGAGAAAAACGTATAGTTATCTCCAGATTGTCGTTGAAAATGTGAAAAGACAAATAAAAGACGCGGCGGCTTGATAACTTCTGACAGTTTGTAAAAAAAAAAAATGGATTGATATCAAAATCAGATTTTTTCTGCATGTTTACATTTCGTAAGTTCTGATTGATTTACTTATTGCTTTTACTTTTAGAGAATTGATCCTTAAGTATTTGAAGACTTCTTTTAATTTCCTTATATCTCACTTATCCTCTAGTATTTATAACAACAGAGGAAGAGTTTCTGCTGAAAATAATAAATCCATAAAAAGTCAAGAGGATTAAAACTCAAGAGGAATAAACATAATACAAATACATATGTATATTTAGCTTTTAAGAAATTTCATAGCAATGTGGAGACTTACCATTTGTGTTTCTATCTGTGGGTCGTCCATCATTTCATAGGTACATGTAGTTGTAGATTTGTTGGTCACAATAACTGTATGTGCATTGATCGAGACTTCACAGATAAAGATATATGAAACGTGCAGAGCTGGAGGCATATCCTGTGCACCTGAGTTTAAAAAAATTCCTTCGATGTCAAGCAAACACGTATATATTTCCATCCGTATGTGCGATTATAATGTTTGAGCTGCTTGACAGATAAAGAAGAAGAGATTTTTGGGACAAAAAAATTAAAGAAAATGATTTAAACATTTACACAACTACGAGTTATATAGTAATACATAAGCCATATTGTTACGTTTCAAAACATGACAAAAACCACAAAGTAATACGTGAATAAACGCTATAAAGAAGATGAGATGCTCCATTTGTTAAATTTTTCAGTCATTCTATGTCATGTTTTACGTTGTTATAACAACGATTTATTTAGTACAATTTTGTGGAAAGAACTATATATGGTTTGGCCATTTTAAGCCCCCATTCAGAAAATGTTTATATTTACAATTGGGAGTGATAAGGCAAGTGTGTTGCTTAAAAAATATTTTTTAATTTGTTCAGGCATTTCGTTGCCATGGAAACCGTCGTCAAAAACACATACCTTCAGACCTAAAAATCTGGCATCAATTGTCATTTAACCAATCTTTAATTTTGATTCCAACTATAATGTCTTCAGTATGTCTATATTTATACTTTGGGATATGACAAAGTGACTGTTTTACCAAGGAAATATATTTCAAATTGATCAGGCATTCTGTTGCCATGGTAACCATCTTCAAAAACGTTTTTCTTCATACCTTAAAATCTGGCTTTTATTGACATTTATCAAAACTTTAATTTTGGTAGCAGCTATAATATCTTCAGTGAATGTCTATATTTATACTCTGGGATACATGTATGCTAAGGTGACTGTATTACTAAGGAAATAGATCTATTATAATATTATAGATTGCAAAGCTATTCCTTTGCCATGGACACCATCTTTAAAAACTTCTACTTTCAGACCTGAAAATCTAGCTTCTATTCTCATTTATCAAACCTTTAATTGTTGTTGCATCTATAATTTCTTCAGTAAATGTCTATATTTATACTTTGTGGTATGTTAACGTAAGTGTACTGCTGAGAAACATATTTTAAATTGATCAGACATTCCATTGCCATGGAAACCATCTTTAAAAAACGATACATTCAGACCTGAAAATCTAGCTTCTATTCTCATTTAACAAACCTTTAATTGTGGTTGCATCTATAATTTTTTCAGTAAATGTCTATATTTATACTTTGGGATATGTTAACGTAAGTGTACTGCTGAGAAACATATTTTAAATTGATCAGACATTCCATTGCCATGGAAACCATCGATACATTCAGACCTGAAAATCTAGCATTTATTGTCATTTAACCAAACTTCTACTGTCATAAAAACAATCGTTAATTTTGATACAGTCTCTATTCTCTTCGTTCTGATTTTTTTTGTTAAACTTTACATTTTTTTAGTAAAATGAAAAACATATTTAAATATTTTAATGAAAACTATTTCTTGAGGGGAGGGGGGCATTACAGGAATCAACTTGTCCTTCTGACCATTAGTCTGTCCATCAATGCAGTCATTTCCGACAATAAATTTGTAACTGAGAAACATTAGAAGCTTATACGGTATTCTACATGTACATGTATATATACATAGGATTTATGACCTGAATTAAGGTCTAACTTTGATTCAAGGTCAAATTCAATGTCACTAGCAAAAACATTGACTAATTTGTGTTGAATTCATAACTTTATAATAAAAAAAAAATTGGATGGATTCCCATGCTTCAATAAAGGTGAAGGTGTCTCATAAACATAACCCATGGTCATCTAAAAAATTCAAGTCACTGGCAGAAAAAAAATTGAGAAATGCGATTTATTGGCTTATACAAGTTATCATTTAAAAGAGGAATTCAATAAGACTATCATTCAGCATTATATTGCAAAATGAACATCATTAATATTGCGCATAGTATGATCATATTTGAGGTGCAGAAATAAGAAGTCAAACAAAAAGTCATTTTAAATAAATATATTTTTTGTAATATGTATTTTACCTCTTCTATTATATGTAATACAAAGAACACTTTTTAAAGGCTTGTGCGCATTTTCCTTTAGTGTTCTTACGGATCTCACTTTCGAGTGATGGGTAGCAAAGAGTTTATTATATCTTTGAATTGTTCTTTGGTTATACCAGTAAGAGTGAATTGGTTCTCAGAGGCTAACAGAGCTGGATAACAACAATTGGCGTGTTTCTCAGGCATGTGTGATACTTCTTGAGCACCAGTACAAATTAGGAGTGGACGATTTCTCAGAGAAAAAGACTGGGCTACTGGATGATATCTTGGTTAAATGGTCGAGAAAACCAACTATGCCTTGGGTTGACCAATCGTGTTGTGCTAGAGATGTACAATATTTCGGTGCCTGAACAATCTCTTGTTTAACATATCATTTGAATTGTTTGCCTGGCGTATTGTGCCTCGAGTTCAGCTGCATCGTCGATGGCATAAGCTCATAACTCCTTTTTGCCGTCTGGAAAAAAGAAGACAAAATAAAGAATCTGATACAACAAATCTTGTATAAAAGATAATAATTTCGCTTTTCTTTTGTTGAACTACCCATTTTTATAGGAAATTTTGAATCTGTGATTGCGCCAGGTATCGGGTGATCGTGTAAGTATTTGGTATATTTTGTAAAAAAAAAAAAAAACAAACAAAAAAAAAAAAAACAAAAAAAAACAAAACAAACAAAAAAATAGATGTTTATTGTCCCTTTCGATAATTTTTCATTCATATTGAGATGCCACCACTTGTAGGGCTAAAAATTAAGTACTCGGTACTTAGCCTTTTAGCAGTGATGGTTCTATTTTGTGCCAGCACCTACTGCAACACGGGTCCTCGGTTTCTACGGTCTCATCCGTTTCCAATTCCGCAGTGAGATTCGAACCCGCGACGTAAGGGTCTCTTTACTCTGAGACTTTAGAGCAAATGCTCTAACCACTGCACCAAGCCCACACAGATTAGAATGTGTAACCATGGAAAAAGTTGACTTGACTACGATGGGGTGGTGGTCAATGAATATTTCTAATCGCAACCTTTCGGGCTTTTCCAAGCGGTGAAACAATCTTGACTGTGTTACAAAGGTAAATTAAAAAAATTGTCCAGACCCGAAAATCCTATTTCGGGAGTGGGGGGGGGGGGGGGATCGAACTTCTTTCAGTACCATATTTTTTTTCAAATGCCACCACTTATCCTTCTTTGATTACACTGCAATGTGCGTGTTGAAAGTGGGGGTGGGGGTGGGGGGGGGGCTAAACCTTCGCCCCAATGTTCAATGCTTATATTATGTCCACCTTTGCAAAAAAGGGAGGGGGGGGGGGTTGGAGGCAGATCCTTCCTGATTTTACGTACCTGACCTGTATGTGTTATAAGTTAAAGTAAGTAAAGCAAAACCAAGTAGGTAAAGTAAAACAAAGAAAAAAAAAAGAAATTGAATTAATGAATAATTGGAATTTTCAAATGTGATGCATGTTTATTGTTTTATATTTACATTCCACATATATATTGCAAAATGAACATCAGTGACGGCATTCAAAACACCTTAACACGGACAGGGGGTCAAAAGGTTAAAGTATGCGTTTTATTTTGACGTCACAAACTTTGAACGCCGTGGAAGTGCAACGTCATAAGCGAAAATCAAAATTCACGCTCATTTGAAAAGAAGCTGTTGGAATGGTTCTTCCATTAAATGTAATTTACCAGAAGGATAATACAGGGACTTTGATATAAAAATCACATTTGCAGTCAAGGCAAGGAGTTAAAACAGTAAATATAAGCATTAAATCATTATCTTTTTGAAAGATATACATGTAGTCTCATAACTGCAACGGTGTGTGCAAACAAATTTTCATAACGCGCTAACGCGCGTTACTCAATTTGTTTGCACACACCATTGCAGTTATGAGACTATATCTTTAAAAAAATAATGATTCAATGCTTAAGTATCACACAATATTGACTAAGAACATAATGATTTGATTTTATTTTTGTAAAAATAAATAAATTATGCACTAAAAGTATACTATTGAAATATATATATTATTTCTGGTGCCTATTTGTATTCAAGATTGAAAGAAATATTAATTTAGTAATTTTTTTTAATTAATAATGCCCCCAACTTCCTTGATTAATATTTAATTTTAAGGAAAAAGTAGGACATTTTGACATGTATGGTTGGCCGTATATTTGTTGCTTGTAAATAGAAAAAAAAAATTGACATTTTAACATACATAATGAAAGTCTTTGTAAATGATATAATAATTTTAAAATGTATACTGTACATACCTCTCCTTTGAAGTATATTCTTATAAGGTAGACTTGAAGATCAGACTATATCCACGTGATCCTTGTGATCCACACCCGTACACATCAACAGATCTATTTGTATCTTGGAATAACGATCGCGATAAACAAAAAAAAATTCTTTTTCACAAAATTGTTTCAAGAACAGATAGTTATTAATGTTCAGGATATTTATGTTGGTATACACAGATGAAGCAATTATAGACGACGCTACTTCGAATAAATATTCAAAAGGCCTATATGCCAACAACGTCGTCCCTCCGTGCATGATTGTGACGTCACTCGATATATACAATCGCCACGAAGGGTGTCAAAAATGCCACTTTTTGACGTTTTCTTGTAAACTAAGACACTTTAAGCATTTAATTCCCTGCAAATTGCTTGAATAAACATAACAATAAAAGAAAAAAAAAATTAAATTGGATTCTTTCAAACAATATCAATTTCATTTAGGTTCATTGGCGTTTAAATTTTAACAATAACGGGGGCAAAATATGAAGGAAACCATACATAGTTCTTTAGTGTTATTTTTTCATTACGCAACATGTTTCTCAAATCATTTTTTTTTCTTCACTGTTTTGATGGTAAGTTTAAAATCCAAA